CTCCTGGGCTCAAGCAATCCTGCTGCCTCAGCCTCCCGAGTAGGTGGGACTACAGGCATGTGCCACCATGCCCAGCTAAGTTTTTCTATATATTTTTAGTTGTCTGATTAATTTCTTTCTATTTTTAGTAGAGACGGGGGTCTCGCTCTTGCTCAGGCTGGTCTCGAACTCCTGATCTCAAACAATCTGCCCGCCTCAGCCTCCCAGAGTGCTAGGATTACAGATGTGAGCCACAGCGTCCGGCCATTCTCTAGCATTTCTTAAGGGCTCTTTTCTTCTCATTTTTGAGTCTCTCAGATGTACTCCCTTGGATTCTATTAACTCCTCCTTCCTTCCTCTGCTCATTTCCCTCTCATTCTCTGTCACCTCTCGCAAAATACCCCACACAGCCAGACAACCCCCCTCCCCACACACACGTCTACACTCTCGCTCAATGCTCTGGCTTATACTGATGTGAAAGAGGCATTGCTCAGGAGGTTTCTGCTGCTATAGAATAGCAGGTTGAACATCAGTGGTTTTGGCCAATTGATTAAAATAAGTACCTTTGAAAGGATCAGTTAATTGGAAAAAACTGATGTCAACCCATGAGTGAGTCTGGCACTCTTTTGGGGTTTCTTAGGATCCACAGAATTTGTTTCCATGCAATCATTGTTTCCCAGTGTTGGAGAAATCCTCTTTTGCTATCTTTTTGGAATCACTCTCAGTAAGAAACAATATTATTTTTCCCTTCATGATGTGAGTCTGCCCCTTAGTAACTTAATCATTTTCCAAGGATGTGTTTTCTCTTGCTTTTTGAGAGATTAGAGTCATAATGAGTGACAATTTTCCTGTTAATCATGATAGTTGCTTATGTTCCTTGAATTTGAGAAACCTCGCTCTCAATTTGTAACATTTTACAAATATTTCTTAGAAAGATGAGCTTTAAATGATCAGCATTCGTACAAATGCGTTTCAGTTTGTTTTTTGGCAAGCTTTATTCCCCCTCAAGGGATTTATCTCAATCACTCAGCATTATGTTTCTCCTGGAAATTCTTCCTTCCAACAGCACACATCTGTATTTCTATGTTAATCATGCTGCACTCACTTTTGCCATATGGTCTAAGGATCTTAGACATCTCTTCAAAAAAAAGTTGACATTCCCCTCTGTTAAGAATCATTTAAATATTGCTGATGCCTGGATTGCACCCTAGTCCAGTGAAATCTGAATGTCTCGGGGTGGGAGCTGTAGAGATCGTCCAGCATCTCTACGAGTGTCACAGCGCAGCGAAGAATGCTCCAGACCACAATCTCAGGCTGAAGGAGGAAGAGACACTCTTTTCCTTTCAAAGAGCTCCCAATCCTCTCCAAATCTCTGTATTTATTGTAGGGAAAGGCATACGTGTTTACAGCAATGAGCGCACAGGTAAAATCTTTGGCGTCATACAGCAAGCACGCTGTTCTAAACAAATCTATTTAACGATACACATTAAACTTGTAATTATCTTGTTATTTCCTTGTTGTTCCTTAAGGCTATCAAGAAAAGGGCAGGGACCCAACATCAGTCACACTCCCATGCATTCCCAAGCCTGCTGTATGCAGCTGGCTGATAAGCATTCATACCCCAAGTCCTGTTTGCAGGACTGCCCGGTTTCCACCTTTGTCCTAGTCCCTTTACCCAGGCCTTTATGCCTTTTCTAATATCCTCTACAGGAGCCAGGCATCACAGTTTTTTAATGGTCCCCAGGTCGTTCCACTGTGCAGCAAAGTTTAGACACGTTTCTCTGTGGGTTTGCACAAAGGGCATGTCTTGTGGTACAGCAGCATCCCTTCAACAGCGCCCCCCTAGAGAGAGTTTCTGGTCGGCAGAAGCCCTTCTCAGCGCGAGGCGGAGGTGTGGCTCAGCAGAAGCACATCTGTGACAGGGAGGGAAGTTTGGGTAGGGTAGCTCTCTGGTGAGCTGGCTTGAATAGAATTTAGAGATTCTAGAGTAGTGGTTTTCAAACTGGGCTCTGAGAAGCCCTAGGGACCTGGGAGGAGAAGGAGGGGCCAAGGTTGACCCAGAAGGCAGGGGCTACCCCTGACCTTCAACTGGAGCTGCTCCAATTGAAGTGTTTCATATTCTGGGCTTCCAGGTAGGATATTGTTTGGATAAAACGTTCTTATTCTTAAAAGGGGAGGAGAGAGAGGAAGAGAGGGAGGGGGGAGAGGAAGAGGGGAAAGAGGAGGGAGAGGAGGAGAGGAGGAGAGGAGGAGGGACGGTGGTGGGGGCAGAGAAGGAGAGAGAATGAGAATCATTGATAGAGCAGGGGTTGGCCGGCTCTGGCTGGGGAGCTAAGAATAGTTTTCCATTTTTAAGTGGTTGGCAAGAAAATGTATGGCTCATGAAAATTATATGAGATTCAAATTTCAGTGTTCATAAATAGAGTTTTATTGAAACGCAGCCACACCATTCATTTTTGTACAGTCTGTGGCTATTTTGCGGCAAAGTCGAGTAGTCGGGATAAAGACCACATGGCCGGCCAAGCCTCAGATATTTACTATATGCTGCTTCACAGAAAGTATTTGTCAACTTCTATTCTAAAGAATCAATGGAAGTCCCTGTTTTTTTGTTTTTGTGGTTTCGTAATTAGTCTCCTCACCATTTCCATCAGAGAGAAAATTGAGAGAACATACATGTGTATCACATATACAAATACTATGTTAATATGTATGGTAATTTACTCATTTCTAGACCTGCTTTCTCAGTGTCCTGATTTATGCCTTCTTGCTTTGTGAGATAAATACATACTGTTTCCCCCTCCTCTTAAATAGACTTTATTTTTTAGAGCAGTGTTCGGTTTATAGCAAAATTAAGCAGAAAGTGCAGAGAGTTCCCATGTACCCCCTGACCCTGCACACACAGCCTCCCCAACTATCAACATCTTCCACCAGAGTGGTACATTTGCTACAACTGATGAGCCCACACTGACACATCGTTATCACCCAAAGTCAGTAGTTTACATTAGGGCTCACTCTTGGTGTTGTACGTTCCATGGGTTTTGACAAATGCGTAAGAACACATATCCATCATTATGGTTATATATAGAATAGCTTTACCTCCCTAAAAATCCCGTGCTCTGCCTATTCGTCCCTCTCTCCTCCACCAACCCCTGGCAACTACTGATCTTTTTACTGTGTCCATAGATTTGCCTTTTCCAGAATGTCATAGAGTTGGAATCATATAGTATGTCACCTTCTCAGATTGGTTTCTTTCAATTAGTAGTATGCATTTAAAGTTCTTTTGTATCATTCTTTTGATATTTGATTAAACAAAATCCTGGGGCCAGACAGGGATGGATCCTGAATACCAATTTCAAAGGGCTGTTAGCAAGATGGAGAAAATTATCTTTTCCTATTGGGGGTTCGTGACATCCCCAATAAAGATAGGGTCCCCGGGCAGAATACGTTGCAAGAGATGAAACAAACAAAGACACAGACACAGACACAGGAATAATTTTAAGAGTGCGGGGAAATCAGGGGACCACCAGCACTCCGGTGCCAAGGTGCTGGTGACTGAAATCCAGCACTTGCTTTTTGTTCTCTTTGCCATGCTGCAAAACAATGATCTCATGTGAAAAAATCACGGGATACAATGAACGAAAGTCTCAGGGCTCCCCAAAATCACAAGGTGTCCTAGCTAATTACTTTCTCCTTTCTAGAAGTGAAAACACATAATTCTTCAGTGGATACAATCCTTTTGATCAAGGTAAACTGACTAATTTTATCCCAAGCTCAAACTATGTACATGGATATCAATCTCTAACTTCAGTAGCTGTGACCCATTTGATCATGGAACAAAGAAACTACATGCTTTCCACTGGGAGACTGGTTTTACATTAACAGAGGCATTGTTGAGAGAAAGGGAGAGAAGGAGCTTGGCCAAGTGTTCTAACAATGGAAGCCTTAAGACCCTTCTCCTGGGCTGACATACGGCAATCTACCTCTACAGCCACGAGAAGTTTTCATGTCAGGCCTCCCGCAGCTTTTCAGGCATGAGACCCCTTAGGCTCTGAGGTTGGCGCATGCTTTGCTGCACTCCCAGATCACTGATATATGTCCCCCAACTAGACAGTTAACATCTGCCCTTATTTCAGGCTTCTGCTCAGGCAATTCCTTCACCTCCTCTCCCCTCACCGCCTCAGACATAGCATCCCTAAGTCCCAGTGGTCTTAATCCCATCATTTTCCAGAAATACTTTTGGGGAGAGTGTTGTGTAGGGGATAGGATGTAAGCTTCCAAGAGTCCATGTCTGGAAGATGGGTCGGTGAACTACAATCTGTGGGAGAGAGTATAGTCAACTGTAGCATGGGAGTTTTGCTTAACTTGCTGTAAATTTGGAACCAAAGTGGATTTGCCAGGGATCAAAACACAAGAGCTTCCACATAAGCAGTCTGCTTCATTTGCCCACACAATACCAGACCTATACTCTAAAGAAATGATGCCCCAATAATTTCAAGACTATTGATTTTCAAAAGGTGCCAAATTATGATCATGCCCAGAGTGCCCATATGTCTTAGAATGGCTCAAGATAGATATCGTTATTAGCATGATCTAAAAGGAGGACCACCAGCTTTGGAAGATTGAATTCTTATTCTGATCATTATCTTGACTATAACCATATGTTTTATGATTCTTTGGTTTTCTTTTTGCATAGTTGGTAATATATTCTTTATAACATCAAGTGAGGTCATTGAATAACATCTATGAACATCTTTGCATTGTTTAACAACTTGATCTACCAGAAGTGCGGTGTTACCAAGTGCCCATTTGACTCCCCAAAGTCTTAATTTAGAGAGTCTGAGAGAGAGATGCTGATTATACACCTCACAATTGGACAGAATTGTCACTTCTATTCATTTCAACCAACTTTTACTGTCTGCTATGGGCATGGTATGGCAGAGGGTGAATGAGGCATGGTCTGCTCTTGGCACTTAGTTAATGGAAAACATGTTTCATTTGTTCCTCCTTTCCTTGACCCATAGGTCCAGTTCAATCCAGGAGTTGGTGTTAGGAATGGAGAGCTTTCTTTCCTGAATGGCACCGTGGGAGCTGACATGCTTCTCCAGGGCTCCCGGCAGACTCCTGTCTCTGCAAAGAGGACCCCAGAATCAAGGAGCCGGAAGAACCAGGCCAGGAGGTTCCAGGTGGATTCTCTGGAGCTTCCTGAGCCTAGTGGGAGCCCAGTATCAGTCAGCTCTAGTGGCACTTTGTGGAAATGCCCTGGCTGGTCATTCCAGGCCAGCAGCCCACCTACAAGTCCCCAGCTGCATCTGACTTCTCCCCACCTTCAACCCGGAGCCAAAATGAAGGTACTCAGCTGGGAAAGCAGCTTTCAGAAGCTTGAGGAAGAGACTAATGTTGACACTGGGTTCACTGCCATCAATTCTGAACCTGGGCAATCTTTTTTGAGCAGGTTTCCAAGGGATTTGCAGACCAGCCAGCCACCATCCTGCTTGCCAGCCTCTTCCTTAGGGGTGGCTACCTCCAAAAACAGCAGAGTCCTTCAGGAAAGAGTCTATCCTTTGTCACTGGCTGGACAAAGGGTCATTGATACAAAAAAGATAACCTCAAAATGTCCCCTTCCTCTGCAAGTCCAGAGTAAAGAAAAAGAAGAAGAAGAATTCTTTATATAGTATAAAACAAATGTGGTTTTCTAAAACACAAGATCAGATAGAATGTTCTAGAAATGGAATACTGACCCAGAATCAGCCTGTTTTTTGCTCTTCTGAGGGGGCCTGAATGCTGTTTTAGTGCTACCCATGCACAGATCTGTATTGTTTTTATTTCAAATGTTCAAAGTCTAAAGGTGCTGGGAGTGATTGTTTTTTACCATCAAAGTCGTAAGAGAACATAGCCAATGCACAAGAACAAAGCCCAGTGCTTGTGTTCCCTGGAGGTGCACTAACCCAGCTGGAGGTGTTGAATTCAGCACCTATCAGGATAATTGCATTGTATGCAAATGAATTGGATGTGTTATGCAATGCTGATTAGTGCATGTAATTTGGTTTTAATTTTTACTTGGGTTGCACAGCTCACCCCCCTGGACAGGATGGACTACTATTCATTCTTTAGTGCTTTTTAATTTTTATGTGACCTCCTTTGGTAACTAGGCACTGTTCATCACATACCCTCTCATGTTTTTTTTGCCTTTAAAGTTGCTTGCATCTAGAATAAGTAAAAATGCAAGGTGTTTTGAAAATGAAAAATAATTTATTTTTTTCCTGTTTAATGAGCCCACACACTGGAAACCAGAAAATCAGGTTAAAAATGAATGCTAGACTCTAGGGTTTTCCTGCTCCTCTTTTTCTTGTTTGTTTCTTCACTACTCCAAAGATGACAGTGGTTCTTGTTACAAATCAAGAAGGATCATATGATGATTGGATGATTTGAGATCTCCACTGAGCATGGCAGGAAGATTGGATTGGTTGACCAGGTCACTGGAGCAGGACTTGGATTCTTCTGGCTATATTTGAATCCCCAAATTCCTTTGCAATACTCATTCATTCATTATGTATTCACTCAATAAATATTTATTGAACACCCATGTTTGAATAAGGCATTGTATATATGGTATATCTACATTCTGTGACATCAAACCCAAAAAGTATTTCTGGCTTCACCACTATGATAAATCCATTCTATCAACTCTTAAAAAGACACTGAAGTCCAAAGATTCTTCTAAGAACTTCTTTCACAATTGAGGCCCATGGTTGCCCGTAATGATGTAGTAAGCATTCATGACCTACAGATGAAGACTAGGTATATTATAAATTGCAATTATAATCGTAATGGACAAATTCTCAGTTGCCCATATGCTGAATTTTTGGGTTAGATATTTAAAAAAATCTGAGGTCTGTGTGTTTCAGTTAATTTATAAGGTTATTTCACTCAATGAACCTCATTCTCCAGGACAGATGTTACATAAAAATATAAATGCTGATTTAGCTGGATCTCTTGGAGACCTGAATACTTAGTACACCCAACTGGAGAGAAAGAAAGGTGAGTTCAAGCCAAAAGACAAATCTTGTGGAAGTGAAGGGACAGAAATGAAGGAGAATTGCAAATGAACAAAGACAAGACTTCTAAATTGATTTTTTTTTCTTTTTTTGGTCCTTAAAACATCAATATATTGCCATTCCCATTTCCTCTCTCTCCCCTAGACTAAAATTCGGTCTTAGAAAATGGAATAAAGAATATAATTTTGGTATGGCTTTCTATAATGAGTTAAAAAAAAATGAAAGTCTTATATAAATTGAACTGTTGAGCTGTCTTGAAAAGCACAGCAAGGAGAAATTTTGAAATTTCCACTCCACTTTCTTTTTTTAATGTTATCTAAATTTCCTTAACGTAATACTTGGGTAAGAATATAAGTGCATGAAAATTATAAAGAATATTGAGAAATTTGAATGAGTGTCTTTACAAAACTGACAATGTAAAATAATATACTCTTAAAATGTCACCTACTCTCTCCTACTCAACATAGGAATTCAATTTACAACATGATGGGATGAAAATACCAGTGGATTGGGTGGGGGAGGCCCAGATTTTGATTTCAGCTTTTAAATTTACTATTTATGAGACCTTGAACATGTCAGGCTCTTTGATCTTCTGTTGCCTTATCTACTGTAACAAAAGGTCCTCAGGAGAATCAAGATTATGTATATGAAAGCATTTGAATATTATTAAGCACTATAAATGTGTGAGATAT